CTGTGTCACTAGTGACATTGACTACATATCCATCAGCATCAGATGAATCAAGTGCAGTCCAACTGACAGTGATAGTGGTAGCTGTCTTGTTGACCTCAGTAAGAGAAGAGGGAGCAGTTGCTGGTACTAATATTATTGGTAATAAGAATTATTAGCATTCATTGACATACATTACCTTTTATAGTTACGTTACGTATTCTAATTGCATTAGCATCAGGATGATCTGCTACCCTGCACTGATACATTTGATCTCCAGTGATTGATTGACTGATTGATCCACTACTGACAGTCATTCCATCCCATGTGACATTAACAGTATGATCATATGTGTGATTATTTTTGTGTAATAAGTAACTGTTATTACAAGGTGATGAAGAAGTACATCCTGCATTATTAATCAATTGTATATCATCCAATTTCAATTTAAAGTCATAACCATAAGCATATCCAGTTTTAATACAATGTATTGTGTATTCCTGAGGTAATACTATACTTGATGGGATATCAACATAAAATGATGCTATTTGTACAAATCCTACAATTGAAAAGAATCACAAAAATTTAATTAGCTCTTCTTACGGAATATATTAGCAAACATGATGTTTGAAGCAGTCAAACAATCAGTAGGTAGACAACACTTGTACCAGCCTTCTTGCTCTGCTGGTAGTCCCTGAGCAAGATAAAGATTGAGAATAGCATCAGGTGAAGTGACATTAGTACAACGAAAAGGATCATTGTCACTATTATTGTTACAGTCAATAGGATCATCATCAGGATCAGCAACTCTAACCCACTGACCAGTAGTTAGACTAGTACCAGGTAACACACATGATATAGCTTCAGTAACTGCTTTGACAGTATTATCCCAAAAATATGATCCATTAGGATAACAGTTTCCATTAGCTCCTAAATATATACCTATTAAATCAATATTACATATGTATAATTTATATTAAAACTAAAATACCTTTTTGCTGACAATGAGTAGTAAAGACACTAATTGTACTACTAGCAGGTCCCAGTAATTGTTGATAGGCTCTGACTGTGATGCTATAATTTGTTACTGCTCTCAGTCCATTCAGTGTGATTGTATTATTACTACTTCCCTCCACCTGTACTGTCTGCACAGTGTCTGTGTCACTAGTGACATTGACTACATATCCATCAGCATCAGATGAATCAAGTGCATTCCAATTGACAGTGATAGTGGTAGCTGTCTTGTTGACCTCAGTAAGAGAAGAGGGAGCAGATGCTGGTACTAAGATAGAGAGATTGGTAACAGTAAATTTTAGAGTTTATAAGCATTACCTGTTACAGTTAAACTACGTGTTCTAGTTCTTTGATTACTAACTTGCACTACACACTGATACATTTGATCTCCAGTGATTGATTGACTCACTGATCCACTACTGACAGTCATTCCATCCCATGTGATAGTAACAGTATATCTTACTGTGTTTTCAACAATACCAGTTAAATCAGTACCAGGACAATTATCATCAGGATCATGACAATTAGTGTAACTAGCCAGTGCAGTATTACCAATGCTCATACTAATATCATAGCGATTGTGTCCAATTTTAGTACAATTCAGTTTGTATTCCTGAGGATATACTGTCATATCAGAAGGAAGATCAGCAGTCAATGAATCTATCTGTGCAAAATCTACAAATGAAAATTATTACTCAGCAAGTGATTATATATAGTATTCTTTTACTGAATATATTAGCAAAGATGGTGTTATTAGCATTAGAACAATCAGTGGGTAGACAACACTTGTACCAGCCATCACCAGCAGATGACGCGAGAAAATTCGGGTGATTTATCTGAACACTGAGAATAGCTGTACCTGATGACCCAGGGGTACATTGAACATTTTGCTTGCTACCAGGACAAGGAACTGTTCCATTAGGACCAATCCATTGTCCACCATTTAAAGTAGCACCAGGTAATCCACACTCTAAAGGCTTATCTCTGATGGTGTTATCTGAAAAAAATGATCCATTGGGGTAACAGTTTCCATTATCATACCTCAGGTAGATACCTAAAAAAACCTATACAGTTGTTATTATACACATCTAGTGTCTTACCTGAGGAAGGTGAACATTGACTAATAACTTCACTGACACTCAACAAGAAGACGGCAGCGATTAGAGCTATCATTTTCAAACTGACGAGTTAGTGTAAATTGAAACTGGTAGGCTAATGTTTATCTTTTTATAACATAAACCAACCGTTAGTGCCTTATGTTATTATAACATGGCATTGTAGATTTGATGTTGTTTTTACCCAAAAAATTGGCTTTGAAGATGCAATGCTTTAGTATCATTCAAGCTAATATGTACTGTATGTGGTCTATTTGTCACAAATAAAAACTATAGTGCCTTGCCCATACAACAGAGCAAGGCCAATCATTAATGATCAATAATATTAAAGGAGTTTAATAGTTCAGGTGAGCAATGTGATAGTCTCTGCAATAGTGATGCTGCATAGCTCTGCAGTGAATACATGTCATCCTTTTCTTCCTGTAACTCTTCAACTAACTGTTTTTATGCAATAAATACACAATGCTGATGATGTAAAAATATATATGTACACATACTTCAGTAAGTGATGCTATTCTTAGTAGGTCAGGGCTCATTCCAGGGCTCTGTTGAACTCTGGGCAGTCCTTCAAGTAGTTCAGGGTCAGTGTCCAGTGCTACTGACAGTAAGTGATCAATGTATCCTTTTAGTTTTTCTTTTCCTTTCAATATCACACTAATTTCCTCTCGAATCTAAAATGTATACCAATAACTATTAGTCTATTAATACTATATACCTGCTGCTCGTCATTATGTTCTGATGACTGGAGGTTTTTGCTATCTTGTGATAACAAAAGTTTTTCTTGAATCTAAAGAATACAAAGGTATAAAACCTTCCTTTGGTTCATGTGTCAATATCTGCTATGTACTTTGCTCTTTAATTCTTTTGTCAGTTTCATTTTTTCTTTTTGGAGTCTGTCATGATGTTTTCCAATAACATGCTTCATCTCAAGCAGGCCAATAGCTGTGTCCTTCTCACTGATAACAGTTTGTAGTTGGTCAATGTCAATATCCAATAGTTGAAGCGTTTTGCTTTTAAGTTCCATTCTAATCTCATCCATTGTGATAAGCTGCTGCTGAATGGCTCTATCTTTTATTTCTAGCATCTCTTCTACTTCACATACTTTCTGTTGCATTTCTTTTATTACTTTCTACACAAACATTTGGATATAAAATTTAATATCACATCATATTGATCATTATTTTAAAAATAGAATAAAAGCATTGATTATTTACTTCTTTATGAGAGAGTGATTCCTTTGATGCTTTCAATTCCTGTATCAGATTAGTCATTAACTGATGATTGCTGATTCTTGTGAGTGAGTGATTGGTTGTACTAGACCCAGTAATTAATGAAGATTGATACTGTCCACGCTCAATTTCCTAAAAATTAAAAACAAAGGATAATTTCAATATCAGAACAAAATGAACGCATTATAATTCATGCATCACAAAATCACATTAATAATCAATTTTCAATTTCGTAAAAAAACAACTGTTGCTTCCACAACTGCCGAATAAACATCCCCTAAAAGTTTGCCCACATTACTTGCACATAATATATCTTATTGGCTCACCTCACTGTCTGACTCTGCCAACTGTTCGCATGATCTGATGTACAACTGTTTCCTTGATTCACTTGACTTGCACTCGTGCAGCCAGAATTTAGATTGATTCTAAGAAAAGAGTAGATTAAGATTAGAGTAAATAGTCTAATAGTAATCTTTTAGGGTGGGGAGCTAATGATTTGTACACACAGTATACATCCCAGTGTAGAACAAATGAGTTATATCCATCAATGGACACAAGTCATTAATAGTGTAGGTATTGTATAGCTTCATCAATTACTCACTGTTTGTTCCAAGAGATAATCTTTCATTGTACATTCCTCTTGAATGATGACTAACTGTTTCCTATGCTCATTAATTTGGGAGTTTAGTGAAGAAATGTGTGACTGTAAGTGTCTAATGGTATCCTCCTTTTCTGATAAAATGGATTCGTAGAATCTCCGTAGTGCTTGAATGTCCTCATCTTTTTCTTTCAAAACAGAAAGCATGTTTGTCTTGGTAAAGGAAATAAGTTGAGCCTAGTTGGGATAGATGCATATATGGCTGATCTTTATGTAGTGATTTCTGTCATAGTAATTGTAATAAAAATTAAAATCATCTGTTCAAGAGAGTGTAACAAAGCATGTGATAAATTAAATCAAGTTCAAGAATGAAGGGTACTGCAATCATACCCTCTAAAAATAACTCTGTAAATACATTTTCTCAAATCTAGCTCGTTTGAGCTAATTTAAATCAAAATTGGATTTTTTAAAGTTACTCAAAAATCAGGCCAAAGTCCCTGTACTATAGTACAGGATTTTTGGCCAAATTTTGCCAAAAATGACTAGGAGAGAAATCTCCATTTTTATAATGTTTTCTGATACATATACATGTTCTTATGTTGTGTAGCAAGTTTGAGCTGATTCCCATCAAAATTAGATTTTTTGCAAATTTTTAAAGTTACTCAAAAATTGGGCCAAAGTCCCTGTACTATAGTACAGGGACTTCGGTCAAATTTCGCCAAAAATGACTAGGAGAGAAATCTCCATTTTTATAATGTTTTCTGATGCATATAGATGTTCTTATGTTGTGTAGCAAGTTTGAGCTGATTCCGATCAAAATTGGATTTTTGCAAATTTTTAAAGTTACTCAAAAATCGGGCCCGAAACAATGTACTAAAATAGTACAGAGTGCTTAGCCAAATTTTGCCAAAAATGGCTAGAAAAAATTCTCTATTTTTATAATTTATTTTAAAAAATACATATAAAAGTTCTGATGTTGTGTATATAAGTTCATTTTAATCAAAATTAATTTTTATTATAAATTTATAAATTTGTTAAAAAATCTGGCTATAGAAAATTTAATTTTTCTATATCATAAATCTACAATCAAAATAAAAATTTTTAGAATTTTAAACTCAAAGTACAGGGCATTTTTAATTCATTTCAATGTTGTATACATTCAAAGCTAATTTAAATAACTAAAATACTTACAGTGCTTAATCTTCCTTCTTTATTTCCATGATCAAGAGGTTCCAACAGGTTTTTATCCACTACAGCCATAACCGTGATAACGAGGAGGAGTTGCTAGTTGCCTGTGTAGAAGTAGTTTCTGTTACATCATGAAATACAGATGTACTGTATATATAGGCTGTACAGGTAGCATAGAAAGCTTGTTGACATCATGTTCATTCCCCGGATGATCCGATCCATTTTCCCCATTACACATGTGTGTAGTCCCAATAATGAATGACGTAATCAGTTTCAATTTAATAACTATGACAGTGCTCATGAATAATGTTAACTGCACTGATTATACAACATGAATAAAAAATAACCAATTATAGTCATAGTCTCATAAAGTACTTTCCATTTCTTCAATTTTTACCTAAATTTATGCATAAATTACAGCATTTGAGATTCATTTTACTTTAGGAACAGGTTGATCTTCACTAAAGCTGGCTGACAGTGTGCGGCCTTTGAAAGATAAGCTTGATTTGTCAACCACGACATAAACCTCACTACCAAATAAAAGCTTTGCACTATAAAATTACACCATAATCAAACAAAAAAATTATGACTAGTCTTACATATATGGAGACGGTATCCGTTTCAAATCAAATTCTAATCCTGTCCTTTCATCCACCATCCATGCAAGCCAGTGATTAGCAAAAAGGTAAGTATTAATGACTCTGAGAATAGTCCCAGTTTGTAGTCTAGCATCATCTTTAGTTGATGGCTCATGATTGACCATGCTTTTTATGTAGAATGAATCAGCTTCAAGGTGGCCCAATGCCACAAGATACTCTAAGTCATCATGAGTATTAATAATAAAAATAATAATAATTATTCCTTAAAATACTTGATTTATTCTCTATTAGTGTAAGCTTGATGTCTTCAGTGTTGCTTCTTTCTATTATACTAGTTGCATCATAAAGAGACATGCCATATGTGGTATGTCCATTTATATCCAATATTTGATCACCATTCATTATTTGCTAAGAAAGAATTGTATTATCTTGTTTCATACATGCACTCACTTACTGCATCACAGGGAGGAGCTGATGAGACAAATATGCCAACATTTCTACCACCAATCACAGTGAATAATCTTTGATTCGGCGATCCACGCAATGTTACCTTCTTTTCAGAACTAGAAATAAAGTTGTTAAAGTTAATTACAAATTCCCAATAAAGTATTCTTACTGAAATTCTTGGACTTTTGTTAATTTGTTTGCCAGTGTCTTAGTGTGTTCACTAAGTTTATGTGATACTTGCCTCCTATAAAAAGTATAAGGCATAGCCAATAGTTCTGTATGTGATACACTCACTGATCTAGCTGCCTTCTTCCTACTATACAAAAAAAGCAATACTACTGTTTTTGTACATTATAATACTTACATAAAAATGGAAGAGTTTCTCGCCTTTGGTAAATTGTGTCCTCCTTGAGGATTACAATACAATACAATAATTAGTCAAAATTTTAACTCTTGTTTTGTTTACTGTTCATAATTGCGCCCATTTAATTATATTTATTTTGATGATATTGCTGACAATGCTAATGCTAGTATAACTAAACTGCCCAAACTATTAATTAATCCATGCACTGCCACTAACCAGTTCTACAGCTGAATCATAGCTGCAAGTACTGTCTTTCTTTTGAGTGTTTTCAGGGACTTTTAGCATTAGAAGCTGTTCCATCCCATTCCCATCACCACCAATACCACCATCAGCATAGCCTGGAGAATCTATAATAATTTAATAATAAGTTTACTAAGCATAACAATATTACTTGGTGGAATTAGCTCCTCAGTTTTTTGCTCCTCATTATAAGTACTCTCTTTGGGTGACATTAGCTTCCTCAAAATTTTCAATTCCCGTGGTGCTTCCTTGCTAAACCTTTAACAATTACAATAGGAAAGTGAATATACAACAAACTGAAACAAAGTAACTTACAAAATATCAATAACATCGACACTAACAAAGTATGCTTTTCTAATGGTATCATACACAGCTATAGATTCCAAGTCTTTGACATAAACGTCTCGGTATAGTGCAAAGTAGAGCTCAACACATCCAGCAGTATAACTTGTGAGTTGAAGACAAGACACAGGGAGGTCTAACCGCTTAGCCAGCTTCTCTTGTAAAAGTTTGACATCAGAGCCAGATGGCATTATGCTGTCAGGCAACTTTAAACAAAGCTGCTGTCGGAAATTACAGCTAGAATCAAATAAACAAGGAGGTATTTCAAATATTGAACATTCCAAATAAGGAAGCAGCTTGTCTTGATTGTATTTTGAAATAAGAGCTTGGTCTTCTTCTGTACCGAATGTATCAACGACCTCTCCAAGAAGCTCGTGGTTGTACCAGGAATAATGCTTACTAAGAATGCGAAATATCTTAGCGATATCATCTGCTTGCTCTAAGCGCTCAAGTGAACTGGGATCACTGTCAAGATGAGGCAGTTGACAGAGATACAGCTTAAGCTCTTCCACACTGACTTGACTCCTTTTAAAAGACTGAACGATCTTCACAAGCAGAGAAGCAAAAGAGAGTCTGACTTTATTGCTACGATCAATCAAATCATTACGCACTCTCTCCTTTTCGTTGTCGCTCATTTCTGACCAGTTGAGGTACTTTCCAGGTGAGTTTTCGGGTGTAAAAGATGGAACAGCCACAGAAGACATTTCCTTTACTTTATTCTCCTCTTGAAGATGCTTTACTACTAATTCTACAATCTCACGGTTGTTCATTTGAAGAAAGTTTGATATCAATGAGCTATAGGTTGCTTTGCTTCCATTTCTAGTTCTCCATTTCCAGAGCATTGCCATCATTCGAGTGCCTTCTGTGTCGTTATCTCGCTTGATTTGAATCAGATCGGTCTGACTCATCCCAAAATAAGGTCCTAAGACATCGTATTGGGCAACATTCTGTGTCAACATCAGAAAAAAGCTGTCTTCGCATCTACTCAATAGACAATCTTGCTTGACATTCATCCCTTCAAGCACTTTACTTATATCTTGAAAAATGCATAACAGTTAGTCAATGGGGGGTATATTGTGGTACATTCCCTTGCTATTGTATAAACTATTACTGAAATCAATATAACAACACTACCTAGACTCTAGTATTAATTTAATCATTACTTTATAAGGAAAAGTTCAGAGGTGTCTTAACTCAGAAAGGAAACTGATAACAAAATGACTCAAGAACTAAATTGCCAAAAGCAAAGTTAACGGTTTGGCGAAGCAACCAATAATCTGCTATAAAGAATATTTTACAGTGATAGTACTCCAAAGTAAGCCCTTGGCAAAACTGCCAACTTGCCAACTGTATGCGGCATCAAAGCATAGATAATACCAGGAGTACATACTACATACCAATCATATCAAAGGAAAATGAGCTAGGAATTATATATTGGATCTAGCCTAGATCTATCATTGTCTATTTGGGAGTTTTATTACTGTACAGTGTAGAGTACAATGAATTTAATTAAATGGAGTGACCCATCATGTAAATTGATAGTTATACAAGCCCACACTTACCATCATCGTTTCCTATTAGCTCGGCCATGATTAGAGGTGCAGCATAGATATTAGAGGTGCAGATTGCTCAAAGTGTTCCGCTCTCAGACAATGGTGATTGGTGAAGCCGTTTACGACTGAAGGCGTGTCTTTAGATAGAATAGGGGAGGAGATTGCAAAATGCACCAATAAATAATTATTGCTAAAATACCTGGATCTTTTTGTTGGAAATTTTTTTTCTGTTTATTTTGAGCATGTCTAAGGCTCTAGCATCATGTTCATGTATTTTAAATATTTATCTAGTGATCATGTTCAGCTGATCAGCCATTCCAGTTTAATCTTGGTTTAATTTAAGATTCAAATGTCACGTGTCTATACAAAAATGGCGGGAGTGGGCAAAGTCTATGGCAAAGTAAAACCTCCCCAGGTATTTATAGATGCCGTCAGTAAAGTTATGAGAGAGTGGCAAGCTATAAAGATAGCAGTGGAGAATATGTTTGGTGGGCCCCTGAGTAAGGAAAAGGCACAATGGATGGAAGAAGTGACAGTTGACTTCATGTGCAACAATAGTAATCTTATAATAATACTACAGTGTGTGTAATCACTTTGATTACATGAGCATCTGTTGTAATATTATCTCAGTGTATATTGGGATGGTAAAATTATTTTACAGTTAGTTTTTTTAACCTTTTAGTTGACGTTCAGTCATGGGAATTAGAGGATTATTTGTGCGTTCTAATGGACCAAGAGTTCCACACATCAGTAGAAGATGCTAGTGTACCAATGGTATGTAATTACAACTTATCCTTATTTGATTATATATTGCTTTGTAGATTGCAAAGAAGATATGTGAACTTTATTCTGACTATCAATCCGGTAATATTCAAAAGATTCAAGATTTTATATCAAAGAGTCGCTCACCTGTTCCATCAGTCCAAGTACAGTGTGTAGAAGAGGATGAGAAAGAAGAGGTTAGTGGTATATTGTACATATTGCTGTAATGTTATCATGTTAATTTGTTGTTTTGGTATTAATAAAATTTTAGAAGACATTCCCTTTTAAAATAGGTGAATGGATTAGAAGTTGTTGAAGAAGAAGAAAGTGATAGTGAAGGAATTCAAGAAGATTTAGAACAATTAAAACTAAATGAACAGACCAGTCCAAAGAAAGAACCAATAGCACCAATACCTGATGATGGTAAGATATCAAGAACTGTTCTTATGTTAATTGTTACCTTGTGTATGTTATACAGGATGGGAAGTTGTTAAGAGAAGCCGCCGCAAATCAAAAAACTAATGACTCCTCCATTCCGTGTACATATGATTGGGATTTTTATAAAAAGAGGAATACAATGCAGATCAGACTTTTATGACAAAGTTCAATCATTATTAAAAGAGAAGAAAAATCACATTGCTAAGAAATGTAAATCTTGTGAAAGTCGTTGGCACCGAATGCGGCGTTGCACTTTGGACATTTCCTCTGTCTTGTCTCATAGCGGGTCTTTATACACTCGGAACAAAACACGTGAAAACATTTAGTGAGTACAGTGTCCTTCTTACGACTAGCACAAACAGGACAGTTGAGTTTCGTCTAAAATAAAAAAATTAAAATCCTAGCTCTTAAAATAATATTGATTGACAGAGAAGTAAATATGTATAAGTACTAATGTTATGTGCATCTCCTTACTCTATATATTCTATTTTCTTCCAATAAAACCTCATCACTCGAGCTGGCCCATTCTCTATGTCGATATTTCTCAAGCTTTCGTTTCATATTAACAATTTCTTCTTGAGCTCTACATGACAAAGAGTATAGCTGAACAAAGAGAAACCAAGACTTCTTACCTTCTTGCATTCTGTATCTCAGTCTCACACTCCTCAGTCTTAGACTGCAGTGATTGCTGTGTAGTTGTTAATATGTTCTCAAGCTCAACAATTTTCAAAGAGTGTTCTTGTTGCTGCTGTGCACTATCAAGTGCCTAAAATAAAAAAATAATTGTTAAAAAATGTGACTGTTAATCTGTCAGTAACCTTCTTTTTAAATACTTCTATTGACTGTTGTTTTAAAGAGATTTCTTTCTCTGCAGATAAAATGGCTGCTTCGGAATTCTTCTCTCTGTCCTCCAGTTTCTGCACTAGTGTGTTTAATCTGTTACAATATAATGCATAACATGATGTTAAGCTTTAAATTTCTAGTTTTCTACCTATCCCTCTCAGAAATGATAGCAGATATTTCAGCTTCCAGTAACTTCTTCTCCTCATTGAGGAGTTTCTGAATACTTTTTGCTTTTATTCTCTCTGACATTAGCTTCAGATTTGCATCATCCTTTTCCTAAACAATAATAATAGTTTATAATAATAACGAAACTAATTGTACATGCTTTGGCAATTATCACTGATATTAGGGTAAAAATTACTTTTAGCTGTTGGAGTAATCTAATGTTTTGTTCTTGTATTTCCTCAAAAGCTTGTGCTATAGACTCCATCTCTCCCATCAGTGCATGAGCCTCTTGCTTCTTGTTGCTTAACTCCTTTTGAAGCTGTCTTTGATCTATTAAATAAAATCAATTCCGTAATACATGTGTGATAAAATCACACCTTCCTTCATGTGTTCCTTCTTCTTTTCATACTCCTTTCGACTTTCCTCAAACTTTTTCTTCAATTCGTCAGCCTGAAACATAAATATACACATGAATCAGACAAACCTGGTCTATATTAGCATTAGGAACATAATTCTCTCTTCTCTTCTTACATATTGTCTTGCTTTTTTCTCAGCAGTTACAAGATCAGTCTTATCCTTGTCAGCTGCACCGTATGTATCCAGTTTATCTTCAAGCTCTTTCTTTTCAGATTTTAAAGTCTTTATCGATTCTTCAAGCTCCGTTATTCTTTGTTCATTGAGTGATTCACCAGTGATTGGAGTTTCCACTGGTTCTTCGGTGGAATTACTCCTTTGATTAGTAGAAGGGGCTGGATTAGATTGAGAATGAGAAGGTGGCGGTGAGATTGATGAGGCTGAAACTGCAGGACCTTCCTTAGCTTCTTTCTCTGATTCCAGTAGCTAAAAGAATACAAACAAGTGATGTCCAATAAATCTTATCATGATTCAGATATAAAAGTTCTTGCAGAGTATGCATCATTCATGTAGTGTAGTGTATATTTATTTTGCTTTTAAGGATCACTTACCTTACCAAGCTTCTCTTCAGCTTTGTAAGCACGGGTCTTGTATCGATTGATCTCTCCCTTCAATTGTTGAATGTTCTTTTGAAGGCTACCAACCATTTCTTGTAGTTCTCTATATCATTAATAATAAATTATTAGTTGCACATAATTATTACTTTGCTATAGGGGCTGCTTGATCATTAGCAGCTATTGTTTGTTCATGCTCAATCTTTAATAGCTCATAGTCGTGTTGGACTGTAGCCAAACTTGTCTCTATCCTTGACATCTCATCTCTTACTTCACTCTGATAGTTTAACTCCTCTTGCCTGAAAATGAAAAGAAGCCATAACAACTTATAAAAAAATTATACAAGTAAAAACCCATTGGTTCCATTGTCACAAAATCCGTGACAAGTAAAAACCCATTGGTTCCATCGTCACGAAATCCGTGACAAGTAAAAACCCATTGGTTCCATCGTCACGAAATCCGTGACAAGTAAAAACCCATTGGTTCCATCGTCACGAAATCCGTGACAAGTAAAAACCCATTGGTTCCATTGTCACGAAATCCGTGACAAGCAAAACACCCATTCATTCCATTGTCACTATAAATCAAGAACTTTTTGAGCAACTTCAAAAATTCATAAAATCCAGATTTGATTGGAATCACTTCAAACTTTCTACACAACATACATGTAAGTACATGTATACGCAATAGAAAAAACTTATAAAAATGAAGAATTCTCTTCTAGCCTTTTTTGACAAAATACACTGTACATGGTCATTGGGATGACAGTAACATTGATATTGATAATTAACCTTATTTCTTCCAGTTGCATGATGTGTTGTGTCTTTGCTGTGTTAAGAAGCTTCCTTGCTTCTTCATAAAGATTCCTAGCCTGCTGATGCTCTAGCATTAATATACTGTACTGACTCTGGAGGGACTTAAAAACAGATGATTCCCTGACTGAACTATCTGATACCTACATGTAAGATAAGTCACTAACATGACATTCTTTAAAATCATTTTCCATACTTGTTGGGCAGCTATCTTGCTCTTCTCTAATTGCTGCTTGAGGTTTACAATTTGCTGATTGAGCTGCTGTATTTCTGCAAGACGTGACTCAGAAACTTTCTGAACATCGTCCAGTTCTGAACGTAAAGTATCCAACTACATATATGAGAACCAATAGACATATTAGTAACAATCAATGCACAAGAATTACACATGTACATGTCCTTTAGAGTTTAAAAATCAAAATGTCACATAATTCCAGGAGGCATATTATAATTACTGGTAAGCTAGCTGTAACAAAAGTATATGCAATAGAGATGTTAGTTTCAACTAACTTCTTCATTAGATACAGGAGGTGATTTCTCATTAGTTGATCCTCCTCCCCCTCCTCCTCCTCCTGATGCTGGGGGACCACCAGGTGCCGTGGGTGATACCACATGAGCTGTTCCTTCAGTTTCCTTTGCTCCAGTCTCACTGCTGGCTTGCTCTGACGGTGAACGAGTTGAGCGAGAGGATTCAAGAGCCTCAGTCAGCTGACGCTGGAGTCTCTCATTCTTTGTAAGTGCCTTCTCTAAATCAAACCTGAACAAACATAGACAGGAGTAAACTTTATAATTAATAATGTTATGGTATACTAAACTTGCCTTGCATCAGCTAGATCATTCTCTAATCTCTCACACATTGCTTCCAGCACTTCGACTCGACCTTTGACCTTGTGTACTTCATTAAGATCCAACCTCTCTCTAAGCATCAATACAGGCATTGTAAGTTAGATTAACATGGAGACAATGCTGCCTTATATTTACTTAATCTCTTCAAGAGCATCGAGACTCTTCCTCCTTTCTGATAATATGTTCTCTAGTTCTGCTATGGTTGATGGCTCTAGTTGATCTGATTTAGCTAGAGATTCCTATTAAATGACAAAAAAACACTTTTAAAATGTGCATTATCATCATGCTAACTTTGAGATCCTCCAGTTGAGCGAATAGTTGAGATCCTCTGCTGGAAACTGTTGAAGAGAGAGAAGAAAAGAACTGGTCCAGAGAATTAATGGCAGCATTAGCTGATTGGTTTGACAGATTAGTCAACGATGAAGTAAGTGTTTCAGTATTGAGGCCTAAAAGTGATGTACATACATGTACATGATCAAACTTTCATAAAACAAAAAGGTGATACTACCGTATAGCTGGAAAAGTTTGCGGGAATTATATTCTGCGATTTTGTACCCATATAGCTAATTTTAATGTTTGTGGAATTTAATTTTGCTGGTGTAGGCGTGTACTGTTGATACACCCATTACTTATAATGCTTTGCGGAATTAAATTGTGCGTTTTTATGATGAACAGCAAACAGCAAAATTAAATTCCAGCAAATATTTCCAGCTATACGGTAATACATGATTGTTAAACAAAAAGGATGTCCCCTATGTGGCAAAGGTGCTAAATGGAAGCAAAAATGTTGCAGAAGTTAGTTCTACACTACAATGTACATAGACAGTAGTAAATTTTATATAGTCTTAGCAAGAGTAGA